GCCCTTGAGAGTCGCCCTCGCTAAGATCTGAGCCAGCCTAAAAAAATCACCCGACCAACTCTGCTACACAGGGAGATGCGCCCAACCAACCCCAGGAACAAACATCAACCCGGACTCCAACCGGGTCCAAGTGACGGGGATTTTTCCAGCCCAGATCTGGCTTCACAAAAGGACACGCGTCCTTTGTAGCCCCACTCGCGGATCCGTTTTTTCTGATTTCCAGGTTCCGCCAGTGGCAGGGCAACCCTACGAGCTGGCCATCGGAAGCAGCCTCACCTCCAGCTCGAAGTGTGCCAGCGCCTTGGAGCCCTCCCACCAATGAACAGCCGGAACCTGACGGGGGGATCTGGTCCCTTGAAAAAATGAGAATGGTGGAGTCCGAACCAGGACACCCCGAACGTCAGGTTCATGCACATGTTTCGGCTGGGATGACACAGTTCACAAGAAGCGAGGAGGATTCATTTCTTGACGTTCAGCCAGACTAGGGTATCTTCATTGCATTTGAGGATTTCAGCACTGCCCCCCACGGATAGTAATGGAGGTCCAACCGTAAATAGCTGCGTGCCGCGTCCGCCCTTTCAATTCTTTATTTTGGGTACGCTCCCTTGTCGCCAGGTTTTGATTTCTCGTTCGGGATCTGGCCACACGCGTTAGAAAGAGCGCGAGGTCTTCGCCCCGGGCCCCGTGACTTGCCCTCCAACAGCTCTGCAGGCCGGGATCGGGGCACCATGGGACTGGAGGGAGGGGTGCTGGCAGGCGGGGTGTCTCTTTGATCTCTGGCAGCTCAGTGGGCGTTGTGTTTTGGCGAGGTGTCCCAACAGTTTCGAGGGAGCTGTTTGTGAACGAGGCATGCGTGGAAGGGCTGTACGGCTACACATTAGCATGAGCAGCATCGGAGTGCGGATTCGGACAGCCTTGATGGATTCGCATTTCATCATTGTGAGATTCTCGCGTCCACGAAAGGGTCCCCAAATAAAACATGTTGCCCAGATGTGGATCGGATTGCTAAAGGCGCACGTCCCGGGACAGCCAGAAGACAAGTCCGGGACCTAGATTTCTGTCACAAGGCGAGGTATTTCAGCAGCGAGAGTGACCTCACGACTTTCTCAGTTCGCCTGCAAATAGTGAGCCTTCAGATAATGAGTTACCTGCATGGATGCAGAGACCGCAAGACTTCAAGACTGGACCGAGACAAGTTGGATTGTACCATGTTGTTTGCCCTTTTTAGACCAGCACCGTTGGCATGTCACGTACTTTATCCGGGCCGAACATCTCGGCTTGAGGTTCAAGATCTACAAGAACGAGCGCGGTCAAATCTGTGCTGACCGCGTGGAGCCCACTGCCTCATGGGGCGCCCACCTAGCCTCAGGCTCAGGTTGTCGGGACGGGTTCCAGCTGCACTTGTGTCAGAATATGTCAGAATGTGTTACTGCCTGACTGGCAGATCCTTTGTATTTGGCAAAGTATGGTTTCAACCGAACAGAGACACTTGTTTTTGTTGCTTTGCTGGGCGGTGAGCCGCGATTGATAGCATCCGTATATTATTTTGCTGAAGTAGCACACAATTTGTTCATGTTGAAAGTGTATTATGACTCATGACCGTTGTTATCGCGACACGGCTGTGACGTGTTTCAGCACGTGTGCCAAATGACTGTTTTCCGTGCCCCAGAAAATTGGTGCATCCGCAAGCCATGCACCCAAGCTGAAGCATGTGCTGTGCGACTGCAGGTCGTGACCTGCACGAAGGCCAGATCTTGAGGGTTTGGGAACCTTTGGTTCGTTTTGGCTGGTTCCCACTGACAGAAAGCCTTCAGCCATTCCCTAGGCCCAGAAATCACACGTGGGACGTTCTATCCATGCGGGTGGCCAAGCGCTGGTGTTCCAGAGCCGTCGGATGATCCTTGCCCGCTTTGCGGGCGGGGGGGGGGGGGTTTTGTGAGCCTTGGGTCTCCGCTGAAACAGATTATGAGCAATCCACAGAGTCTTGGCCGTGTGGGATCAGTGAAGCTTCGAGGGCCGAAACAGCTGAGACCGGTGGAGCAATCCATGGTGACAGTCGAATGATTCCCGCAGGATACAGATTGGGCCACGCCCAAGCACAAGGACCCGGGTTTTGAGCACGACATGGGCTGTGAAGAATGGAAGCAACATTGTCGAGCAGGGTTGCTGTGTGTGCCACGTGTCAATGCGGGCTGGCAAAATGATTCGGGTGACTCTCCAACAGTGGCTGAAACTGCCCGTCTGCTCCGCTACACTCCCTCAGACTAACATGGCAGCTCCCAGAAGGCCTTTGTAAAATGGAACTAAGTCTTCCAAAAAGGTCCTGGGAGCTTCCATGTTAGTCTGGGTATAGCGCGAGGTATCTGATCAGGGCCCCGGTATGGTGGAGATCCCGGTGGGCAGCAGCTTGAACTCGGTGACGAAGTGCGCCTGGCGCTCAGGTCACCTTCACGCAGCCTCAAAGAAACAACCGGTTTGCTGTTTCTATCGCTCCCACTGCAGGATAGAGAGCAGAGCTGGGATGGCAAAGTTGATGGCGAAAGCAAGGTGGAATGCCAGGCATGAGGCTTCATGAGGCTCGGGAAAGCAGGGGATGTAAAAATGAATAATAATGACCATACAGGCAAATATTTACCATGACCAGCCTGATGCCGCAGGTGACGGTTATATGCCTAGGGTTGGACAAATATGTCACGTGTCAACACTTGGTACACTGCCTGTAGTAGCACGCAAAGAGGTGGCATGGCGCGTGCATTTCATCCATGCTTTGGTTGAACCGCCTTGTTCTGGTGCCATTTCGGGCAGCACGCTTGAAGCGATGTCACGGGCACCAAACTCTCAGATTTGGGCGCGTCTTTTGACTCGGTCCCATTTTTGGGCTTAAAGCAATTTCAATGGAGCTTCCCTGTGGGGGCTTCCCTTTTTTGAGACACCCCCCAAGGGTGACCTGACCTGTTCGCCAGTTGGAGCTGTGCCTCCGCACTTCGACGGGAGCCCAGGTGAAAGATCCTGGAGATGTCCACTGCAACAACGAGGCCTCGCAGCGAGGCCGCACCGGAGAATGGCCCGACACGCCGGGCGCCCTGGGTGCCTGGCGTTGGGTTAATTTGCCCGGCCAAGGCCGGAGAGCGCGGGGTCTATTGCTCGCAGGAAAGATGGAAGCTGCAAATTTCCGGGACCGAGCTCGCCCTGACTAGCTGGCAGTGTCATTTTCTTCAATTAACGTGATGCAGCTTGGTTCAGTGCTGCCAACCAATGCAAGTGTTTCAGGGCAGAATGCGCAAGGAGCTTTCATGTCGCATACGGTCAACCACTTTAGTCGCGCAGGGGGAGGTGCTCCGGTTGCTCCTGTAGATATGTTGGGCCAAGCTGCCACTGACTTCCTTAGCAGAAGTTTTTGGTCACCAAAGATGCCAGCGGGTTCAAGTCTATCCTTCAACTTTGGCGATTTGAAGGGATATGTGATATGTGCAATCATTTTCCAAGCATCCAATGCTCCAGGCTTCCCTCCAACTCCCCTCGTGGCTCCCGGGTTCGAGTACTAAACCGCCACTAAACCAAAAGGTGGGTTACAAGCAAGAACTAGTGCATTGCAGCAGCTTTCCAGATCTTGTAAGCATCATGTCTTGTCATTGGCTCCAAGGTTCGACATCTACCACCAGAACGGCCAGATTTGCGCCAAGCGCACGGACGAATCGCAGCCTTGGGGTATGCACTTGGCTCGGGCCCCAGAAATCGGCAGATCGGCATGCCCTCCTGACACTTTCATGCACGTGGTTGTATGTACTTTTCAAGGGCCCCACGCTCCCATGTTGCGTCAAAAATGGGCACTAATATGAGATGCCAGGGGCCCCATTTGGGGGCTTGAGGTTTATTTGAGTATCATTGCAGACGTGACGTTGCTGGATGAACTCAGAACTCTATGTCCAACATTCAGGTGCTCCACTGCAAACTCAAGGCGGTGCAGCGAAGTCCAGCTGTTGGCATTGATGCGGGTCCATCGGTTAGGGGCGACTGGTTTCCCGGCAGTTTTGTTTGAAGCTCACCATGTCGGCATTCTGAGTGGGGTTCGGTGTCCTTTCAATTTCACCACTTCGGGATGCAAAACAAAACACCGCGAGATGGCTCGAATCTGGGTTCGAGTTTGATTGCACAGGAAGAAATTCTGCGAGTAAAGCCGGGTTTTTTACTGGCTTGGAAGTGCTGCGAATGCAGGGGAGGGAAACTGCCAATGCACCGACAAAATGAGGGTGCAGGGGAACAATAGCAAAGGCGTTTGCTGCCTCCAACATGATCCAAATCAAACAAACAAAGGACACCCCCCAGCTTGGCAGGCAACAGCGATTGCTCCGGCACCGCCACCTGCAGTAGCCTCAGAGTTGCTCCCTTTGTCCGGATGACGTGGGATGTTTTGGTGGGGCTATTTGATTGGTTGGTTTGCTTTGCGATTCAGAGCCTGCAAGTGCTTGGTGAGACCTCTGGCTGTTTGAGAAGAGAAGAAGCCGACTGCGGCCGGAAGAATCAAGCGGCGAAAGGGCCACTGCTTTGCCATTCCTTTCGGATCCAACGAAGTTCTCTTCGACTTCTCAAACTGGGCTCCAGGCGTTGACTGCCAGGAGCCCTTCAACTGCTACGTGGACCTGCCAGTGGATTGGCCTTCCCAGAAGCGGACCTACTGCTGCGCGATCCCGAGTGAGGAGCTGGTTTTTGGGTAGCTTTGGTCATTTTCCAACAGGACCTCAGGGCCTTTGTCCGGTTCCACCGTCCCTGGGCTCGACGTCATGCTTGAGTTAACATTAGCTCTGTGACCCATGCTACTTGGAGCTCGCATCTGGCGCGGTTGGAAGATGAGCGGCTGGCCCCTGGTGAGCGTCTGACTGGAGCGGACCCCCCTTTTGGATGGTTTGCAAACGGAATCCGGAAACAACAGGAAGCAATCCATTTATGGGGGCGCCCCTTCCAGACAGCTAAACCCATGCCATGTTCCGCGTGTCTCACATGGGCCGACCGCGGCCCAAGGCGCCAACAAGAAGTTGGGCTGCGACGCGCTGGGTCCGGAAGAGCCGGCCCGGACCTAAAGGGGATGCAGTCCGGGCCACTTTTGACAATCCGGCGTTCGCTGTTGATGGCGATGCTCGTTCTTTTTTGTCTTGCAGCTTTTCAAGAACTCCTCCCAAATGAGATACCTCTCTGGCGGGCTTTCAGTTTTGCTTCTGATTAAAGAGGGAACATTTGAGCCTTCAACTGGCACCGGCATGGCCGGGTGCAGGCAAATATGGGATCCGGAAATTGAACCGCCTCGCAAGTGTATCTAAGTCATCAGCGAGCAATTCAAAGTTTCACCAGCAAATGTGTCGATGTTCAGTTTTTCCCGGGCCACAGGGATGGTCAGTGTTTGAAGCATGGCTAAGGATTGCGATGGCACGGAAATCGACTGGGAGTCCTGCCCGAACCCGACCAGCTGCGACACGCCGGCCACCTAAACAAGCAAGGCTTCAATGTTGAGGGAGCTGCTTCCGCTTTGTCCTTCAGGAGTAATCAACTCATAAGGGTTCTGGAGGGCTTCGAGGAGAAGCCGTAAGGAAGGCATTCGCACGCAGCCACAAATTGGCAGCGATGTTCAGATCTTCAAAAAGGGATCCACCGTGCCGGTTTGTTTGACATCCCACGATGCCTGTTCTGGGTTGCTACCCACCGGGTGTACACCGGGCAGCTTGCAAACCAAGTCATTCAGCATGCACTGTCGGCTGCGCGGCTGGGGGCCTCCCCTCTGGTGGGCTTGTTAGTTAGACAGGGTACTCTAAAAATGGAAGCGCACAACTGGCTAGTGCCAGTTGAACCACCTGGCTCATTTCCTTTTTTCTAGCCTAACCCCTGCTCATTTGCTCAGGCCCAAAGTGGAGCTTTGAGGCTGATGGTCGTTTTTCCTTCCGAGGTGCGTGCCCGTGGACTGCGAGTTTGGCGCCTGGAGCGCGTGGAAGACGGAGCCGGGCTTCGAGTGCAGCGGCCCGGGCCTCGGGGAAGACACCCCGGCGATGGGCGAAGTGGCCAGCCGTCCGCGCAGCTTTTCAGGTGCTCAGGATTTAGTGGGGGGTTTAAAAGCTGAACTTTTAGCAGGGGTTCTGAGGACAGCCCAGTTTTGACGTGCGGATACAGGTCTTGAACATGTTCCAAGGGCTGAAGTCCTTTGTATTGTGAGCGGTGTTGTATGAGGGATCACAGTGTCCCTCTTGAGACAGGGGGGCAAGCAAATTCACAGCAAGTGCAAAGGCCTGCAGAAAAGGTCTCCACACTTGAGGAAGGTGCACCAACATGGCTCAGGACTACGTTACCGTCGGCGTGGCTTTGCTCGGGAGAACAACCAGCGCGCTCCACAGTTGGATGAATGTATGTTTTATGCCTTGGGCACCTGAAGAATATGGGAAGGTCGACTTGGCGGATCCTCCCCCCTTGCTGACAGTCACCCTTGGATACCCAGGGCCCGGGTGTCGCGTTGACCCTCCTTTAAAAGGGTTCCAAAAAGAGACCCAGAAGTTCGAGAGCCGCCCATGTGACCATGTTAGTGTTTGTTTATTTGTCTAACATCCTTCATGACTGTTGTTAGCCAGCTGCCCAAGTGCAGTGTTTCAAATGCGTGCCTTTTAAGCAGCTCATTGCGGTGTTGCTCAGTTGTGGCGAGCCTTGTCGTGGCCAAACCGTCGACTCAGAGGCGTGCTGAAGATCGCGTAATCGGCGCGAGGGGCGACCGGGTGGGGGGTCACGCAAAGAAGTGGCCAACATGGAATGGAGCCGAGAACTGTCCACTCGCCAAGGATCATAGTTTTAAAAGTCGGAGCACCAGTGATCCATGCTTCCTTGGCCTGTGACGCAGGCGTTTATGCCGCCAGAGTGCAAGGGCGACGTCACCGTGGATTGCAAGTTCTCCGAGCTTGCCTCAGAGGTATGCTTGAAGGGGGCCACCGTTGCGAGTCGAGTTTGGTATTGATATTACTGATCCTGGAGCATTGACATTGGTCTGTGCGAACCTTGTTGTAGGACTCCTTTGGGCGAGTGGTAGTTCCCCAGACTCGGGAGGGTGGCAACCTTGGTCCAGGACTGGAGCGACTGGGCTGGCAACTGCTCTAGCGAGCATGAACAGCTGCAGCGTGGCCGGCAGGCACTGTGCGGATTGGTCAACCTGCTGTGCCCCCAAATGGCTGTGGGTCAAAACAAATGGTACCCTTTTGGGGTAGGTGAATTCACCACCCATTTTAAAACCTATGTTAGTGGGGATTGGGATGTTCACTGGGGGTACGGGATTTTGACCCATGGCCAAATCAACTCAACAGCCTGAGCGCTTTCACGTGAACTGCATCCTGGTTTGCAGCGACATACGCTCGCAGCTTCAACCCCATGCCAGGTTCTGCACGATTCCAACAGCCCCTTGCGGATGCAGTGTGATGGTGCTTTGAAGCAGTCGTGGCTTGGCTAGCGAATCATTGACACATTGATGATTCGTGCAGTGGCAAGACAGGTTGTCAGGGTACAATGTTGACATCACTCAGGTATGTACGTGGGATGGTGTGTGCATGTGCATGGTGTTTTTTGGGAATTGTGTTAGAATTATGGACCTGTCAGTCTGAAACGCTTTCGATCTTTGAGGCTGAGCCCCTGAATGGCTGTGAAGAAAGATGCATTCAAACATACTAGTACACGGTACCCCGTTTTGCGGGGCCGAATTTGTGCATCGACCGCAAGGATAATTTGCCACGTTTAAGCTGAGGCGAGCCTGTACTGCCAAGCCGCCAGACTGCCAGTTCTCAGCTGCTGCCTCAGTGACATGGGAGCAATGGATTGTGGACATGACAAATCATCTATTCCCCGTGTGAATGATGCCCAAAGGTTAAGAGTTAGAATTCAGATGGGAGTGTTGCATTGTACGTCCTAATGGAGGGTTCTGGTGATCCAGATTCGTTTCGCCTTTCGAAATCACCGAGCCTTTCTGCACTACGTGCAGCAGTTGCTGTAAAGGGACTGGCAAGGGGTACACTTAACATGAACAACACCGGACAATTAACCTGTTGATCCTCTTGGTATGCGCAGATAATATGTTCATATCGATCAAGCTTGCAGAAAATAATTGCGGCAGCACCCCTCTTTTTCCGACTAGGAGGCTGTTATATACTGTTCCCATATTAAATACAGAGTACACACACAATCTGTACATGTATATGACATGGCTTCACGGCCGCATTTGGCCCATGTTGAAATGCCTTCTCTTAATAATTGACATTGGTTTCAGGATTTACACGATCCCTAACGTGTCTAAGCCAACGCTAAGCCAACACACGACCCACCCAAGCCTGGAACCCTGAACCCCCATCAAGGAAAGAACAACTTCCATTCACCGAGCTTCTCCAGGTATTACACCCAAGAACGCGTCTGTGTTACGCTTTTCATCATTTTCTACAGTTGAGGAAGCAAACTTGCGCGAGGCGCCAAGCTGTGACAGGGTTAAGCCCGGGGCCAGGCCGAAAATCACCCGCATTTGCCCAACGGAAAGATTTTTTCCATTTTTGAGACGCGCCCAATCAGAGACGAGGTGACATGTTTTTGCCTTTCCGCAGGCGTGGCATGATTGGTCCCAGTGCAGTACGACCTGCGGCTTGGGCAGGAGGCAGCGCATGCGAGACCTCGATGAGGACGGTACTCGATCTGGGTCTCTGGGTCTGTCTCAACAAAGCAAATACCCTCCCCCCCAAAAAAACCAGGGTGTTTCCCCTTTGGACTTCCCTTGCAAGTTGACAGCACCCTCCCTTCCGGCGCTCAAAGGAGATTGGGATAGATTTTGTGGCCAGTTTCTGTACGTGACCAAGGGAATCCCCGATAGGGGGGGGACCCCAGGCACCAACAGCTGACCAACCTTACCCCCCACTAGATGCTATTCCCAGGCTTCAGTGTGAAACTGGCCCGGAGATAGTCAGGGGGAATTCTGTCGGAAGTGCGTGTGACTTCAAAGCCAGCAGCACATGCAGCCGAAGTCTGCGTAAGCCTTCTAGCTGCAATGTTGCAGCTGGGCATGTAAGATATTATTTACATGGCCCCATCCTCCTCATCCGTGCATGGTGCAAATAGCTGTGTGCAGGACAGCATTGCTCACGGCCTGCCCTGTGATGTTGGCACCCTTCTCTACACTGAGGCAGGGTCGGCGACCAAACAGCGGGTTGAATTACAGCTCGGTCAAAAGAGCCATTGCCAAAGGAAATTCGGCAAAGAGCCATTGCATGAACAATCTCACCCATTCAATCTGATACCAGCCAAGGCACACTTGCTGACTTGGTTTCGCGTTTCCTCAGGGCTTGCTACGACTATTTTCCGTGCGAGGAATGTGAGGAGCAGCCCTGCGATCAGATTGATTGCGTCCTCAGCGACTGGACGTCCTGGTCCGGCTGCTCCGGCGCTAAGAGGCGGGCACCGCAGTTGCACTTCGAGCTCAAACAGGAAACACGGGAAACTTGGTTTTGTACGTGTCCGTGCGTCCGTTTGTTTGTTTGTCTTTGTTGGTTTGTTGGTTTGTTGGTTTGTTGGTTTGTTGGTTTGTTGGTTTGTTGGTTTGTTGGTTTGTTGGTTTGTTGGTTTGTTGGTTTGTTGGTTTGTTGGTTTGTTGGTTTGTTTGTGTTTGTTTGTTTGCTTGCTTGCTTGCTTGCTTGTTTGATTGTTTGTTTGTTTGTTTGTTTGTTTGTTTGCTCTGTTGCACTGCCCCAGAATGAACGATGAGTGCATGTACTGGCTGATCGCGAGTGTAGATTGACGTGGACGACCTGTCATTTTGTGTTGGGCATGCTTCGTAAATCCCAATGTTTGTTTTGTGTGGAGCGAGCGTCATCCTGCGCAGCTCATGCAAGCAATGTTTATACCGTGTGGCGAACAGTGAAATTGAATTTTGAGCATGGTGTGCTCATAGTTTGGTGCATTTGCTGACATCCTTTCTATCCAGCCTGAATATCAGCACCGTACTCACTTCATGATTGTCTTCCTGCCTCTCGCAAGCAGGGAGCAAGGGTTCCACTTATACCTTTTTTTTGTCGCACTTTAACATCACAACCATGGGATCTGTCCAAGCTCAAGCTTCGTCCATCCGTTGCGCTTGTCTCTGATGCGATCAAAGCCCACGCTCCGCCCAAGCCTTGACAGGCAACAGTTTCGAAGCAGAAGGATCTTCCAGGCGCTGCGAGTTCGCTGGTGATGCCATTTGGTGGAAATCAGTGGGATGGCTCAAGACTGCGAACATTTGCAGACCCGTGGTGAAATGGATTGCCCAGTTGCTGACGCACTGCGATTTTTTTCCACCATACATGGCACCATGTAAATGCAACTGCCTTTACGCATTGCTGTCTCAACTGAATTGAAGCCTTCACGCGTGCCGCAAAGAAGCAGATGCATGAGCAGGTTGAAAGGGTGAACATAAACATGGGACAGCGCAGCAAGTTGTGGGCCGAGCTTCACCTGCCAGCCCCCTACCTGCCCGCTACCCGCGCAGGCACCGGCAGGGGATGGAGCTCCCTGCGATAAGGAGCTGCTGGAGACCAGCGGCTGCCCGCCGGTGGTGGAGACCGGCCTGGAGCGGCCACCTCAGAGACTGGGTGGGGAGTGGTGCTGAACGCGCAGCCAAAGGACCAAAGGACAATCATGGGGGGAGGGTGACCTTAAGTGGGTTCCACAAGGAACAAAATCAGAATGACACATGGGGGTTGATCAGTATTCCGTTTGGCCCCCCAATTTTCCGCGGGCAACATTTCCTCTTTTAGTTGGATGTGTCACATTTTTAGCGTTTGCCCCCACTGGTCATCCTGTGTAAAGGACCTTTTGATCAACCCCCATATCATGTAGAACAAAGGGACCCTCTCAAAGCGGCTTGGCTAGGGCCTAGGGGATATGTTTATGTTTCCGTCCGTCAAAAGGCAAAACCTGCGAGGAGTCAGAAAGGTGGGGTTTGCCGGGGTTCTGTTTGATGGCTGTCCTATGGGCGTGGATGGTGGCATTCCCACCGTGCGCTGCACTTGCAAGCTCAAAGCACCCACTTGCTTGAGATCAAGGATTTGTCTGAAGAACACCAGGACCATCCCGGTTGCAGAGGTTGATCATGGCACGTGGCCGTGACAAGGATGCTATGTTTTGCCAAGAGGAAACTTTCCCAGTTTGCCGTGGCCACGTGTGTTTTGCTCAGGCACCTGCTCACGGACTGGCAAGCATGGGAAGAATGCGACAGGACCTTTGCCTTTTTGGAGAGGTAGGGAGCGCAAGCGTGGGGGAGGGGAGTCTACTCCACTATGGAACCAATTGGAAGCTAGCAGGCTCGTCAAACCTGAGGTTAGCGAGTGGCTTTGTAACTGGTGTGCGTGACTGGACAACTCTACCCGATCTTGGGCACATTGCATTTTGCCACAGCACACAAGGCATTCTCCTGAAGTGTACAAAGCTTACGCACGTGTTTTCTCCACTGATGGACGCCAAAATCCTGCGGCCGAGGGTCGGCCGAAGTGTGAGGAGTTGCGGCGGCGGCCAAACCGCTCGCTATCGCACGGCCTCGGGCATCGCAAGATATGATGCGGAGGACCAGATTGCGAGCAGGGCTGGGGTTGAGTTGATGCCAATTTCGATGTGTTTTTGCACCCTTTCCCTTCACCCTCTTTTGGTGCACTATCCTGGACCCAACTGGCTGTGGCTCTCTCCAGCATGTTGGGTCTGACGGGTCCAATTCAAGCTTCGGACGATGCCAAGCTTCTCCGGCGGAAATGGCCTCAGGAAGTGGCGCTCTTTCCTCTGAAGGCCTGGGTAGTTTCACCACTCGCAGTCATACCGGCCTGGAGCTTGAACATGGTTTGCTCATGTCGCACGTTGCACAGGTTGCCTCGCTTCGCCTTTGCCCGACAGGAGGTTCGCGAGTGCAACACCGAGACTTGTGACGAAAGCAACGAGCTGGACAGGGTTCAACAGTGTGCCGAAACCGTCAAAAGTACATGACCTGGTGATGTATTAGGACGGCTGTCTGGTTTGCACCCCATTTTAGTCAAGGCTTCTTTGCAACCAGCCGAAGCGTCCACCAGTCGATGGGTTGTGAGAAATCGATGGGGAGGACTGCATGCTCTCGAGCTGGGACGCTTGGTCCGATTGCTCCTCCAACTGCGGCGTTGGCGCCAAGACACGTCACCGCAAGGCACGAGAAGAGAATCTGACAGTGTTGCGCTGGGATGTGATTGGCGTCAGTCTTAGAGGTAAGTCAATGTTGAATCAGATTCCTTCCTCTAAAGGCCGGCTGAATGTGTGAAACCAACTATGGTCCATGTCCAGCAGTGGGTTGGCCAGTCTTGTGCAATGTCCCAGCCCTAGACCAACAAGGAGAGAAGATCGGATATTCCCTTACACGTGTTATAGCAACTTACGCGGAAAAGAGTCGCGTTTGTCCCGCTGCAACGTGATGAATGTCTGGCTCCCTCCTGGCAGCGTTGCCAGTGGTCGCACAGAGCTTCATCCTCGTTGAAGCCTGCTCGCTTCTCTATGCTGAAAGGCGTCCTCTTGCATCCCAACAGGTATGGGGCCGTTTGTGAAATTTTGGTGGATAGCCCCACCGCTTTGGCTTGATCCTGACCCATAGCCCAGTGGCAACTCCATACGGGACTGGCTCGCTCGGAGAGGTGGTGAAGCTGGCTGCCCCCGGGGGCAAGGGCTGCGAGGCGAGCTCGAGTTGGTATCGAATCTCACAGCCGGACAGCATCGCTTGTTTGTTCTGTCTTGTTTCTTTGCAGCCTTGTTTTTGAACGGGGAGCATTGTTCATGTTTAAAAAGCGCTTTATGGCGGTGTATTGGATGTGCGAACATGCCATTTTGAAGGGTAGTCAGAGTAGCTTGGCACACCTGGGATACTGTGATTGGGAGGTGGCAGAGGTAGGAGGCTGTATGCGAGTTGCCCACAACAGCACATACAATGGTCAGACAGGCATGTGCAAGCTTTCAAGAGGGATATGACCCATTTGTTTGTTAGGTTTGATTCTCCACACATCACAGACTCAGGAATATCAAGAAATGACACTCACTGATCACCAGACACAGCATAACGATGCCGCAGTGTCACTTTTGAACTTTGGGGGATGTGTTTTTTTTCTTTGACGCTTGGTATCGATATTTTTTCCCCACCTTGTTCTTGGTTCTTATATTTAATGTCGTCGTCCGCGCCGCTCACTCCGCCTCCTCTTCACTCTCACTCAGAGTACACGTACTTGCTCACCTAATTTACACTCACGGACTTTCAACCACTCACTCTCACTCACTTCACTTACACATACTTGCTCTCACTCCCTCAACTTCAACTCACTGGCTTTCAACCACTCTCACTCTGAGTCACTCCACTTAGACATACCGCCTCTACATACCTTTTTCTTGTTGTTCAATGGAATGTTTCGGGCCCTGGAAGCTGTCATTGATATCACTCAGCAAACCATTCATTTCAGCAAATTGGGGTGCTGTTTCTCCTGGATGTTCTCGAGCTCATCAAGAGATGCTCCAAGGACAATGAGCACTCACGCTCACTCACGCACGCATGCACTCACGCACTCGCTCACTCACGCACGCACGCATGCACTCGCTCGCTCGCTGGCTCACGCACGCACTCACTCACGCACGCACACACTCGCTCGCTCGCTCGCTCGCTCGCTCGCTAACGCACGCACGCACGCACGCACGCTCACGCACGCACGCACGCACGCACGCCTGCGCGCGCGCACGCACGCAAGCACTGACGCACGCACTCACGCACTCACGCACTCACGCACTCACGCACTCACGCACGCACCCACCTACCCACGCACGCACGCACGCACGCACACACGCACGCACTCACTCACTCACTCACTCACTTGACGCACGCACTCACTCACTCACGCACGCACGCACGCACTCACGCACTCACTCACCCACGCACTCACGCACGCACGCACGCACTCACTCACTCGCTCCCTCACGCACGCACGCACTCACTCACGCACGCACGCACTCACTCACGCACTCACGCACGCACGCACGCACTTACTCACTCGCTCCCTCACGCATGCACGCACTCACTCACGCACGCACGAACGCACGCACGCACGCACTCACTCACTCACTCTTGCACGCACGCACTCACTCACTCATGCACGCACTCACTCACACTCACTCACGCACGCACGCACTCATTCACTCACCCACGCACGCATGCACTCACTCACGCACGCAGGCACGCACTCCCTTACTCACTCCTTCACGCACGCATCGCACTCACTCACTCACTCACTCACTCGCTTGCTCACTCACTCACTCACTCACTCACTCACTGACTCACTGACTCACTGACTCACTGACTCACTGACTCACTGACTCACTCACTCACTCACTCACTCACTCACTCACTCACTCACTCACTCACTCACTCACTCACTCACTCACTCACTCACTCACTCACTCACTCACTCACTCACTCACTCACTCACTCACTCACTCACTCACTCACTCACTCACTCACTCACTCACTCACTCACTCACTCACTCACTCACTCACTCACTCACTCACTCACTCACTCACTCACTCACTCTAACACTCTAACACTCTAACACTCTAACACTCTAACACTCTAACACTCACACTCACACTCACTCACACACTCTCACTCACACTCACACTCACACTCACTTACTTACTCACGCACGCACTCAGGCACGCACGCACCCTTACTCTCACTCTCACTCTCACACTCACACTCACACACTCTCACTTACACTCACACTCACACTCACACTCACTCTCACTCACGCACGCACTCACTCCCTCACTCCCTCACTCCCCATTCCGTCACTCCCTCACTACCTCACTCACTCGCTCACTCACTCACTCACTCACTTACTCACTCAAGTTTCCAGCTTCCATATTATGTAGAATCCCTATCCGGCGACCTACCCGCCCCGGCTGCCGACTGGGCCTTTAGGCCACGCTCATGGAGTCGGACATTTGCGACGAGGGCGCGTGCGTGTCACGGGACTGCATGTGGGCAGACTGGGCCGACTGGTCCGGGTGCTCCTGTACTTGTGGCGGCGGCATCTCCAGCCGGAGCCGCTATGTGTTGGAGGCCCCCAGGAACGGGGGCAAGGCCTGCGACAACAACACCAAGGACTCATGGACAGTGGAAGAGCTCTTTGGTCCACGTTCCAAAGTAGCCAGAAGATGAGAGAAAGGGGCCCTGTTTTGGAGCTCCTCCTCTCACCCCCAGCTAGGTGCGTTTGCTTATTGACCTTTTCATGCTGATACCCCCGGTAGTTCAAAGGTCAGTTTTGTCATTTTCCATTGGTTGGGGAAAAATTAGAGGGGGACCTGTTTTTCCAAGCCCACAACTTGTTTTGGGACTCTCTACTACCTGTGCCCAAGCCTTTTGCTACGCCTGGACACTCCTTTTAGACAAACTTGTTTGTCTCTTACGTGTCACGCGCTTTTAATAGCTTTGGGTTTGGGGTTGAAAAGAAAGGGTCCTAAAAAAAAAGAATGGCCCCAAGTTGATCCCTTTGGTTTCCTCCGAAAGATACAAGCCTGCAGAGCCCCCTTTCAGGAAGAGCTCAAGGTTTGCAACAACCAGAGCTGCACCCCCGGCACCTGCAAGGACAGGGCAGCTTTGAAATTTGAGAAGGTTCGATGTTTGTTTGGGTGTTGGAAGGATAAATGTTGATAAATGGTTGTTTGGTTCCATCCATGACCTCACTGGTAGTTTTGCATCCACGGATCAAGCTGTTGAGGCAGCATGTTGTGCAAGTATCACTGCAAGTAGTTGGTGGAGGGAAGCATTGGCGGTTCGATGGAGAGAGGTGTGGCCGACAGATGGCTCCACAAGGAAAAGTGTGCCCTTTTTGTTTGGATGTGCGTGTGATCACTTCTATTGAAAGCCGTTTGGTTCCAGCACAACCTCCGCCGCCACATTTGCCATGGGTAACAACCGGCAACAACTATTGTAAGGATTCCTATCAAATTGATAGGAGCCAGGACCCACCAAAAAAGCTTCATCCCCACTTCTCAGAGGGCTCTTTGAGATTGATGGGTTGTGAATTCGGCCTTCACACCACTCTCCAGACTCAGCTTGAAGTGGCCACCAGAAATGGTACTTCCCAGGTCCGTGCCCTCAATGCAGGCCAGGTGTCGCGAGGCCCATGGAGAGAGCTAGGGATAATCGCCGGCGGTTGGCTGAGGGTCTTTCGCCAAACCACGGCAGGACGGTGAATGGGGCTCCTGGCAAGAGTGGGGCCGCTGCTCTGCCACGTGTTCATCGAGCTTCCGATCACGGAAGAGAGACATCGATGTTGCTCCCAACCACTGCGGCAAGGCTCCCACGGGGCTGCAGGAGGAGTTCGAGCCCTGCGACTTCCTGGCTGCCTGTCCTGCGCTGGAGGTAGTAGACTGCTCGGTGTCAGATTGGGCAGAGTGGTCGGACTGCAGCTGCAGCTGCGACGGGGTCCGGGAGCGGAACCGCTTCGTGGCGCACTACGCCAAGCACGGCGGCCAGCCCTGTCAGGAGGATCTCAGGGAGATCGAGGCGTGCAACCCCAGCGTGGGGGAGCACCAGCCTCTCGGCTGCCCAGACCGTTTGTCCGCCGTGCCCGTGGACTGCGTCTTGGGGCAGTGGGCACCTTGGACGGACTGTTCCGTCAGCTGTGGCGGCGGCCAGCACAGCCGCCATCGCCTGATCGCAACGAAGCCCTCGGGTGGAGGGGAGGGCTGCAACGGCGTGCTGGCAATCACAGAGCCATGCTACCAGCCTCAGTGCAGTGATGCCAAGTACCAGGCATGGGCCAGTTCTTATCACCGTTTTCCAAGAACGTCGGAACTTGTTGCACCTGTGCCATCTTGTCTTTGTTTTGTTCAACTGCATGTTAAACAACGTGTGTGTGTGTGTGTGTGTGCCACCACTGCCAAGGGGATGTTGTTTTCCCTTTGAGAAGACGTATTTCAACTGGTTGCGTCACTGTGGAGGCTTGAAAGGATGCTACAGTGCACCCACCCATTAATTATTATAATATTATATGAGCCACGGACAAAACACACGAAGACCACTTTATCAAGGCGGGGAACGTTTTTGCATAACACATGCCAAAACCATGGAAAACGATAAGGTCTCCCCCAAAAACGATAACCCTTAGCTAACACACGGCTCTACAATAACCCCTGCAGTTGCAACTTAGCTAGGGTGGGACCCTTGCGTGGCCACCGTAAAACGAGAAGGCGAGTCGCCACTTTCGAGCTAGAGCTGCCAAGGTGTGCTTCGTAAATACGACACTTGTACTGAGAAGTTGCGATTTTCGAGCTGGAGCTGCGGAAGTGTACTTCGCGTACTAGACTTGTGCTACAAAGTTCTGATTTTCGAGCTGGAGATGCGGAAGTGTACTTCGCGTACTAGACTTGTACTACAAAGTTGCGATTTTCGAGCTGGAGATGCGGAAGTGTACTTCGCGTACTAGACTTGTACTACAAAGTTGCGACTTTCGAGCTGGAGCTGCGGAAGTGTACTTCGCGTACTAGACTTGTACTACAAAGTTTCGATTTTCGAGCTGGAGCTGCGGAAGTGTACTTCGCGTACTAGACTTGTACTACAAAGTTGCGATTTTCGAGCTGGAGCTGCGGAAGTGTACTTCGCGTACTAGACTTGTACTACAAAGTTGCGATTTTCGAGCTGGAGCTGCGGAAGTGTACTTCGCGTACTAGTGACTTGTACTACAAAGTTGCGATTTTCGAGCTGGAGATGCGGAAGTGTACTTCGCGTACTAGACTTGTACTACAAAGTTGCGATTTTCGAGCTGGAGCTGCGGAAGTGTACTTCGCGTACTAGACTTGTACTACAAAGTTTCGATTTTCGCGCTGGAGATGCGGAAGTGTACTTCGCGTACTAAACTTGTACTACAAAGTTGCGACTTTCGAGCTGGAGCTGCGGAAGCATACTTCGCGTACTAGACTTGTACTACAAAGTGTCGACTTTCGAGCTGCAGATGCGGAAGTGTACTTCGCGTACTAGACTTGTACTACAAAGTTGCGCTTTTCGAGCTGGAGCTGCGGAAGTGTACTTCGCGTACTAGACTTGTACTACAAAGTTGCGATTTTCGAGCTGGAGCTGCGCAAGTGTACTTCGCGTACTAGACTTGTTCTACAAAGTTCTGATTTTCGAGCTGGAGATGTGGAAGTGTACTTCGCGTACTAGACTTGTACTACAAAGTTGCCATTTTCGAGCTGGAGATGCGGAAGCGTACTTCGCGCACTAGACTTGTACTACAAAGTTTCGATTTTCGAGCTGGAGCTGCGGATGTGTACTTCGCGTACTAGACTTGTACTACAAAGTTGCGATTTTTGAGCTGGAGCTGCGGAAGTGTACTTCGCTTACTACACTGGTTCTACAAAGTTGCGATTTTCGAGCTGGAGATGCGGAAGTGTACTTCGCGTACTAGACTTGCGCTACAAAGTTGCGATTTTCGATCTGGAGATGCGGAAGTGTACTTCTCGTACTAGACTTGTACTACAAAGTTGCGATTTTTGAGCTGGACTACAAAGTTGCGGTTTTCGATCTGGAGCTGCGGAAGTGTACTTGGCGTACTAGACTTGTACTACAAAGTTGCGAATTTCGAGCTGGAGCTGCGGAAGTCTACTTCGCGTACTAGACTTGTACTACAAAGTTGCGAATTTCGAGCTGGAGATGCGGAAGTGTACTTCGCGTACTAGACTTGTACTACAAAGTTGCGATTTTCGAGCTGGAGCTGCGGAAGTGTACTTTGCGTCTCGCACTACAAAGTTGCGATTTTCGAGCTGGAGCTGCGGATGTGTACTTCGCGTACTAGACTTGTACTACAAAGTTTCGATTTTCGAGCTGGAGCTGCGGAAGTGTACTTCGCGTCTTGCACTACAAAGTTGCGATTTTCGAGCTGGAGATGCGGAAGTGTACTTCGCGTACTAGACTTGTACTACAAAGTGTTGTTTTTCGATCTGGAGATGTGGAAGTGTACTTCGCGTACTAGACTTGTACTACAAAGTTGCGATTTTCGAGCTGGAGTGTGCTTCGCGTACTAGACTTGTACTACAAAGTTGCGATTTTCGAGCTGGAGCTGCGGAAGTGTACTTCGCGTATTAGACTTGTACTACAAAGTTTCGCTTTTCGAGCTGGAGATGCGGAAGTCTACTTCGCGTACTAGACTTGTACTCCAAAGTTGCGATTTTCGCAGCTGGAGCTGCGGAAGTGTACTTCGCGTACTAGACTTGTACTACAAAGTTACGATTTTCGAGCTGGAGATGCGGAAGTGTACTTCGCGTACTAGACTTGCGCTACAAAGTTGCGATTTTCGAGCTGGAGATGCGGAAGTGTACTTCTCGTACTAGACTTGTACTACAAAGTTGCGATTTTCGAGCTGGAGATGCGGAAGTGTACTTCGCTTACTACATGGTGCTACAAAGTTGCGATTTTCGAGCTGGAGCTGCGGAAGTGTACTTGGCGTGCTAGACTTGTACTACAAAGTTGCGAATTTCGAGCTGGAGCTGCGGAAGTCTACTTCGCGTACTAGACTTGTACTACAAAGTTGCGAATTTCGAGCTGCTGATGCGGAAGTGTACTTCGCGTACTAGACTTGTACTACAAAGTTGCGATTTTTGAGCTGGAGATGCGGAAGTGTACTTCGCGTACTAGACTTGCACTACAAAGTTGCGATTTTGGAGCTGGAGATGCGGAAGTGTACTTCTCGTACTGGACTTGTACTACAAAGTTGCGATTTTCGAGCTGGAGATGCGGAAGTGTGCCTTGCGTACTAGACTTGTACGAGCCGGATCTGCCAAAGTTCGAAAACACTGTAAAACGATAAGGTCTCCCCCAAAAACGATAACGTTCAAAAAGTACTAGGGCCAAGTAAAGTGTTTCGTCCGCTCCTCATATATACATACATAAATATATATATATATATATACACATGGTACCGCCCCCCCATACAAAAACCTTTTTTTTTATTTATTTTTTTTTGGGGGGGAGCATTTTTTATTTTATCCCTGCAGGATTGCGAGCTGGCGCCCTGGACCGAGTGGAGCGGATGCTCGGGGTGCCGGGGCCAGAAGCGCCGGCACAGGTCCATCATGAAGCTGCCGGAGGTGGGCTGCGGATCGCGTTGCCTGAGTCCACTTTGAGAGTCACATAACACGAATCCTGTGTTTCCAAACCCTCTGATTGTGATGATCATTGAAATTATGTTGATTGTTAATATTAATATGGCTGCAAGTCAATTTATAAGGTCCGGAACAGGGTCCGGAACCCACATGCGATCCAGACCTCCGTTCCAGACCTTGCCTAGAAACATGTCCAGACCTTCCGTTCCAGACCTTGTTTATGTATTTATGTCTAGTTTAGAGTATTTACGGTAAGGTGATTTGGTAGGTTATTGACTCCCCCCTTTGTTTTGCCAAATGCTGCGCGTTAAGGCTGGTGTTCGAGAGAAGCCTGAGGTGCTAACGATGGGGTTTGCTTGTCGAGCTTTGGTGGTTGGGGCTGCGTGGCTTGTAATCATTGGGACTTGGATGGAATTAAGCAGCGGTCCTGTTGACAGATGTGTTTTTGGAACGGCCTGTGAATGTTAAGGGTCAACCCCGCCGCAATCTGTTCGATACGATACGGTAACGGTTCGATACCGCTCTCGGTCGTCACATTGTTGAAACGACCATGTTTACATGCAGCTTGCTACCAAGTGCAAGCCACTCGCGTAACCGTTCCAGACCCCGTTCCAGACCCGTTCCAGACCCGTTCCAGACGTGTTCCAGACACAGCGGAGCAATTTGCCACCAAGTCCACATGCACAGTAGCTACGCTTCTTACGCGGCCCGCCATGCCGCCGAAGAAGCCTTCAAGGAGGTGCCGTATCGTACGGCCGCGCGCCCCTGATCGCTTCATCCATCCATCTACCCATTCATTCATTCATCCATCCATCTATCCATCTTACACTAAAGGAACGAGCAAAAGGCTAAACACTCTCGTCATAAAATATGTCTTCGGCGATTTCGCGTTGCTTGTTTTGTATTTTTCCTCAGGAACGATTTAGCGAAGCCCCAAAAACGATAACGTCGCATGACGTGCAACTGGCGCTTCGCGCTTCTATTTTGCACTGTGTGAGCATTTTTTTGCCCCAGGCTGTAAGTTGCCATGACAGCTCCTGTCAATGCTCCTCGGCAATGCATGGGCACATGTGTGCACGAGATGGGCCCACCCAGATGGATCGCTAACGCACCCGCGCACACGCACACGCACAGGCGCCCGCAGGCACCGGCGCACGCTGCGACCTTCGAGCTGGAGCTGCCAAAGTGTAACTTGCGTACTGCGCTGGTACTGAAAGTTGCGAATTGCGACCTGGAAGTTGCAGCCAGCAAGCAAAGCCGCCAATGCTTGGGAGCATGAAGCATAGTCTAGTCCGCTGATCACATGACTACCGCAAGGTAGAAGAGGCTCTTGTGCGCTTGCTTGGCTCTAGCTTATAGCAAGTTTGTTTTTTTCGTGACACTACACGCGCCCAGAACGATACCCAAAACGACACCCTACTCCGTGAACGTCCCGGAGCAGCCAATGTGAGGCCTACCTAGTGCGTTTGCTTTTTCAACCACACGCGCAGCTCCTTCAGCGCACATCCTTCCACGCACACAAAGGGCCCGCAACGGGCCAGGCCGCGGACGCCTTGGCGGGCTTGCGCTTGCTCCTCAGAGATCTGCTGCTGCAGGAGGATGGGAAGGCCTAACTTGCCCGAGCAGATCTGTGATCCGGAAGGCTTTGGAGAAGAGCCCGAGCTCCAAGAGTGCTGCCGCAGAAATTGCTCACTGCAGGGGGTTCGCCGGGCACTTTCCAAATCCGCACGGCGTCGCAGGGAGGGCGCTTTGACACGCGCAATCCTCGCAGAGGGTTCATTGGGCGCTTTGCGCGCTCGCGAGACCCGAGCAGAGGGTTCTTCGGGCACTGCACCCACGCGCGAAACGCGGAGAACCATAGGGGACTCGTTTAAAGTAGAATGAATACAGCCCACACAGCAAATATTGACGCTGGCTCATGAGTCACGGTCAAAATATGCGTCGATCACTTTATCAAGGCGGGGTTGGTCTTTGGGTTCCGGAACTGCACGCCTTGTTTTTAGGTGACACGCCCCACCGGACCCGTGGAGGCGTTTCTTTTTGGAGGGTGGGGGGGGGGGGGATGACAGCGACCATGTCCATGTGGAGGCGTTTCTTTTTTGAGGGGTGGGGGGGGGGGGGGGGATGACAGCGACCATGACCATGTTGCCAGACCCGGCAGGCGCGGCTTTGGTGTCTTCTGCGTGTGGCGGGGGGGGGAAGAGGCGGGCGAACTGCGCCCCCGCAGGCACGAGTTTGGCTGGAGCAGGGCATGTGGCATGTGGCAAGCGGAGTGATGGGCACTTCAAAAGCAAACCGCATGAATACACACACAAACATCCCATCCAACAACAACAACAACGTCAACAACAACAACACACGCACGTCCTTACTTTCGCACTTCGTTGGGCACCCATGGAGTCGGTCTTGGAGCCAGTCGCACTGCTTATTCTGCTACGCCTGGCACGGGTGTCGTTGCCTCCTGGTTTGGATGGCTGGCGGGCACGCAGCAGATTGATCGCTGCTGGCATCACTTGAAAAATATCATGCCCAGTAAGATGAAGAGCCGCGGTCCCAGCGGCCTGATCAACAGTCGCCTGTGGACGAGAGCATACCAATTCTTGTATAGACGGTCTTTGTGTGCCTGACATATTAAACATGTGGTCTCTGTGGCAAAGAGATAAAACAAGCAGTGCCCGATGCCAGCATGTCAATGCATGAAAGCTGCTGTTAGATACAAACGAACTTTTTGGCACCTTGCGGCATGCTCCTTCAGCAGATTTGAATGGTAAACGCGCGTTTTTGCGCGGGTCCTGCTGAGCGTGCGACCTTGTTTTTGTGGTTGCCGGAAGGGCAAAACCATACCCACAAGCCAGCCAAACCATACCCACAAGCCACTGGACACTCAAGATGCGCCTATTAGGTGCTTTTGACCAAAGCTACACTCCCCGGCTTGTTACTCAAAACTGCGTTCCCCGGCTTGCTATTTGGAGGTTGCTGGAAGGGCCAAAGTAATTTTGGAGTGTCGAAAACACCTTTTCGGATCATTCGCGGGGTGTCAACTGCATTCTGGGCCACCGATTGCTCTCCTTCCTACTGCTCATGCTTCTTGCTTGCACCCGCAGGCGCCACAGTCGGCACGCCAAACCATACCCAAAAGTAATTTTGGAGCGTCGAAAACACCTTTTCGGATCACTCGGGAGTGTGAACAGCATTCTGGGCCACCGATTGCTCTCCTTCCTACTGCTCATGCTTCTTGCTTGCACCCGCAGGCGCCACAGCCGGCACGCCAAACCATACCCAAAAGTAATTTTGGAGCGTCGAAAACACCTTTTCGGATCACTCGAGGAGTGTGAACTGCATTCTGGGCCACCGATTGCTCTCCTTCCTACTGCTCATGCTTCTTGCTTGCACCCGCAGGCGCCACAGTCGGCACGCCGAACCATACCCAAAAGTAATTTTGGAGCGTCGAAGACACCTTTTCGGATCATTCGCGGAGTGTGAACTGCATTCCGGGCCACCAAAGTACTGCTTGCTCTCCTTCCTAGTGCTCACGCTTCTTGCTTGCGCCCGCAGGCGCCACGGTCGGCGTGCCAAAGCATACCCAAAAGTAATTTTAGAGGGTCGAAAACACCTTTTCGGATCATTCGGGGGGTGTGAACTGCATTCTGGGCCACCGATTGCTCTCCTTCCTACTGCTCATGCTTCTTGCTTGCACCCGCAGGCGCCACAGTCGGCACGTCAAACCATACCCAAAAGTAATTTTAGAGCGTCGAAAACACCTTTTCGGATCATTCGGGGGGTGTGAACTGCATTCTGGGCTGCCGATTGCTCTCCTTCCTACTGCTCATGCTTCTCGCTTGCACCCGCAGGCGCCACAGTCGGCACGCCAAACCATACCCAAAGGTAATTTTAGAGCGTCGAAGACACCTTTTCGGATCATTCGGGGGGTGTGAACTGCATTCTGGGCTGCCGATTGCTCTCCTTCCTACTGCTCATGCTTCTCGCTTGCACCCGCAGGCACCACAGTCGGCGCGCCAAACCATACCCAAAAGTAATTTTGGAGCGTCGAAAACACCTTTTCGGATCACTCGAGGAGTGTGAACTGCATTTTTGGCCACCGAAGTACTGCTTGCTCAAAACGATACCCAAAACGACACCGAAACCACACCCCTCGTGCTCGCATGGTGCTTCTGTGCTTCGAGTTGTTTATAAGTCTCGCTTGCAACTACCAAGTCACCGGACAGCAGTCCGGGCTGCGAGGCGCACGCACGCAACGTGTAGCTGGTTTTGGCACATGCCCTGGACTGAGAGAATATGGGCAAAATTTTCTGGTTTTGGAGGGCTGTCTGAACGATACTCTGAACGATACCTCAACGACACCCGGAAAGCACAAAAGGCGGGCCACCGCTTACCCATCAATCAGTGGTGGTCAGCGTGTGGGCCCTGCTCCACCTCCCATGCTTGTGGGCGGTCGGGAACCAGCGTCAAAAAGCATGTCATGGAGCTTGTGGGGAGGCGCAGCATCTACGCCTGCCTTCCTGCCTTCCTGCCTTCCTGCCTTCCTGCCTTCCTGCCTTCCTGCCTTCTTCCCTTGCTCCCTTCCTTCTTCTTCTGCCCTGCCTCCCTTCCTCTTCTGCCCTGCCTCCCTTCCTCTTCCTCCCTTCCTCTTCCTCCCTTCCTCTTCCTCCCTTCCTCTTCCTCCCTTCCTCTTCCTCCCTTCCTCTTCCTCCCTTCCTCTTCCTCCCTTCCCTTCCACCCTCCTTTTTCCCTTGCCCCATCCTTCCTTGCTCCCTTACTCCCTGGATTCCTTTATCCCTTCCTCCCCATCCTTCTTCCCTTCGTCCTTTCTCCTCCTGCTTTCTCTTCCTCCCAGTTTCTTTTCCTCTGCTCTCTTCCTCCATTCTTTCTCTTTCCCCCTTCCACCCTTCCTTGACATAAACACACCAGTGTCTGAAACATTGCAGAACGATATAGCGAAGCCCCCGCCCAAAGTAGTCTTAGGTTTTGCCTCTCGCTCACGTGCTTGAGGACTCCACACATGTCTTCCCAGAGGTCCGGAACAACCAGCCTTACGTAACTCGTTCCAGACGTCCGCGTCACCGCGGAACGTTCCACACCAGAATATTGACCCACACCCATATGTGTAATCAGGAAATGCATGAATACTCCTTTTTGCTGTACCAGTTCCATGTTTACCCTATAAGTTAAATGCAGGTGTAGTTGTCACATTAATATCTTCAATAAAGGAAAGGGGAAACCTTTTGCGGGAAACAACTCAAATCTACAGCACGGCCCATGTGGTACGGGTTAAACACGAGTTCGGTACGGGTTAAATACGGGTTCGGCAAAGCCGAGATTTGCGCAAAACATAGGGGCTGCTATTATTGGGGGAGAAACGAAACCGAGGCTTGCGTGTCCGGTTTGGAACGGCAGGGAATGCTAAAGCATGTATAGTCGGTTTTGACCTGGCGACTGCCAGACTGATAATTAATTCATTTTCTGCAGAGCAAGCCGAATCCTTGCTCCCCCTTTAAAGTGGCGGCTTGCGTCCAGCTGGGGGGGTACGACATACGTATAGCTACCCACGCGGACAAGGTTTGGAGTAAGCAGGCTTTTCGTTGCCATACCGTTGGGATTTGAGCGAATTTTGCAAGCAGGTGTTCGGAGAGGGGTGCTGGCCTGCGTAACTCGTAACTCGGTGTGGTGTTGGGGTTTGGGTCAACATGGTTTGCTCAAAAGATGCCATTTTGACGTGTTGCATCCTATTCCGTCCCACTGGAAATTTTACATGCCATGCAGCGTCCTAGGGGGATTTGCTGCCTCCCACGTGATGCTTTTGCTGAAAAGACGGACATCTGGAATCTTGACATGCTACGTGCCATGCGTTTTTGTGTAGCACACCTGCACCGACATCTCTGACTTCATGAACGCGCTGCGTCCCATGCAGGTTTGCTTGTATAGATCGTCACGCGCTGTCATGCAATCGAAGTCAATCCCGTTCTCTGTTTTTGAAACCCCGAAAAATCGAAGATCTATCGCAAGACTTGCTGGTGCTCGGTATGGCCCAGGTTGTTGGGAATGAACCTTCCAAGGAAATTATAGCAGATGGTGTACAGAGGTCATTCCCTCATTCCCTGATAACCAGCAAGCATTTCCAGGGGTGAGGGGGATCCAACCATAAGCCTTGGAGCTTGATTTTTCCCTCCACTCGTCTCAGGGGCCAAAACTCTTCGACTTCCAGTCGACCCCGAGTCGTTTCCATGGCAGGTGCTGGGCCGGCAGTGCCCGGCCGCCACACTCAAGGAGTCCACCGCCTGCAGCCTGGGAGTGGGATGCGTGGAGGACACCTCCTACTGCGTATGGTCAGCCTGGACGGGGGCCACCAGCTGCTTCGGGCACCTCCTTGAAGCCCAAAAGGGGAAGTGAGGAATTCGAAGGAAGGTTTATATGGCAGGTTTTTTTTTGTGTGTGTGGAGAACATGCAATCATCATTTTCACATATACAGACATGTTAAAATATACAAGAAATAAATCACTCAATACATGTGCATGAGTGGTTGCAACCTCCATCATGACAGATAACTTTTAACACCAGAGGAGGATCGGGATGTGGGCAGTGCACAATATATATATATATATAGATCTACATATACATATATATATATATGCATATACACACATGTGGTCGTTGTCACACCATGTTGATGTTGTTTTGCCTTTCTTTTCTTGGGGTGGGTGAGGGAATGGGGGGAAAGTAGTTGTTTTCGGATTGTGTTTCTCCTCAGACAGGAAGCCTTGAATTCCGAGGTACGGCGCAAGTACGGCCCTGCGGTCACGGACGCTGCAGGTTTCGCACGATCGGCCGTTCGAGGGCGCCCTCTTCAAGGTCTTGGGGGATTCCGCCGCCTGCTCCAACATGGCGCAGGTGAATGTGACCGCATGCCCAGGGCACGGCCTGCAGTGCGTACCGCTGGACTGCGCGTTTTCCAGCTGGAGCGAGTGGGCGCAGGCGACGTCCTTCATGTGTGAGCGGCACCGTACTGTGCAGACCCGCAACAACGAGTGTGGGAAGGGCTGCCAGGGCGCGCTGGAGGAGACCAAGGTGTGCGAGGTGGAGACGCCAGTCGACTGCAAGCTGGGGGAGTGGCAGGACTGGAGCTTCTGCGACAAGGACGACCCTACGGGCCAGAAGTACCGCTTCCGAAAAGTGGTCCAGGAGCCCAAGGGTGGCAGCCCATGCAGCGGCAGCCTGCACCAGACCAGCCCCTGCAGCTCCAGTGAGGACCCTGTGGACTGCGAGCTAAGCCCCTGGGCCGATTGGGCCAGCTGCAGCGAGAGCTGCGGACGGGGCTGGCAGGCCCGCAATCGGATGGTGCTCGCTGTCGCGATGGGTGGTCAGAGGTGGGGAGGCTATGAACAGAGCGGAGTTTCTTCAAAACAAGAAGCTGCGAAAGAGCTACCATCCAGAAAAAGAGACACACCTTTTTGTGTTTTTAAACAAGATTCGTACGTAGGCCCCAATCCCTCTTTCTCTTCCACGCTATCTCAGTGGCGACACGCCAGGGTCGTTTGAACTTTGACACAGGTGTGAGGACAAGCTGAAGGAGATCCAGCCATGCACCACTTATTGCACCAACTACTTCCAAGAGCCAGTGGACTGTGTCCTGGGCGAGTGGGGTCAATGGGGCCACTGCGATCAGGAGGGGCGTCAAAAACATGCGATGAAACTCCGTCGAATGCCATATGAATTATCTTGTTACGACACCAAGAAATGGAGCCCTTGGCATCTCGAAAATCTGGTGATGTGTTGCCTAAAAGCGGTTGGATCAAACGAATCCAGCTAACTGGGCGGCAAAGCGCCAGGGGCCAGGCGCTCAACGACGTGAGCGGCGCACAAAACCCTGAAATTTGCCATTTTATTAGGTGATCCTTCTAATTACCTGCTTCAACAGGGTTTATCGGAATCCATTATGTGCAGCTTGATAACTTTTTCACCATGTTAGTAGAAACCAGAGTCAATGGTTTTTGGGGCACTGTTCACGTTGGACAACACTTTGGAACAGAACAAGACACTTCCATTCTGAAATTGCAGCGAGTCAATGAGATGCTCCATTGTGTTGGCATTTTTGCATTTTTTTTCTCAATGGCAACACAGGGGGTTTGTTTTCCCTGTCGGTGCCCGGTGGAGCCTTCCCCCCCAGGCGGGCCTTCGGTACCGGGAGCGGCACATGTTGAACCCGGCCATCCACGGGGGCGCGGGCTGCCAGGGGAACCTGCTGGAGGCGGAAGCCTGCGACCTCAGAAAGGTGGACTGCGAGGCCGTCCGGGAACGGGGCCGGACCTCTGGGAATCAACGACCTGACCAATGGACCAACTTGTTTGTTGAAAGGAAAACAAAGATGTAACTCTCCTGCAAGCCTTGCGCGAGGTGTCGCCGTGGGTGGAGTGGAGCCCGTGCGACCGCAGCTGTGGCACAGGCCAGGTGAAGCGACAGCGGCAGATCATCACCTTCCCGGCGAACGGGGGGGAGCTGTGCCCCAGCGAGCTCATCCAAACCACAGGCACAACAGGGTCCAAATTGGGGAAGCGGGCCACGGGGGTTTTGCTGAAGAGGATTGAAGCTGACTGAGAGGCCGTGAGCAAAGTTGGGCCTTGTGCTTTTGGTGCTGACAACCCAAGAATTCTTGAACACCGGAGGCTGCAACCTGGGCTATTGCCCCACCACCAACTGCGAAGAGTCCCAGTGGACCGAGTGGAGCCACTGCTCCGTCACCTGTGGGGTGGGCCAAGAGACGCGGACCAGGGAGATCGCCAATCTCAGGCGCCAAACCGGGGATGCGCCGCAACTTTCACAGCTCCCATCCATTGTATGGTTGCCAACTTCCAAGAGTTTCTTGAGACCCGGGGTTCTGGAGTTTTGTTGGTGGTTCATGTACAGCAGGGAGCAGCCTTGGGATGAAACAACACTTTGAATAAAACTGCGGGCGGGGGGGGGGGGGAGGGAGGGTGTCTCGTTTTAAGGGAACGCTGATATTTGTTTACAGTATGGACGCTGATATTTAGTTTTACGCTGATAGTTTTTAAGGGACGCTGCTATATGGTCAAAAGTTAAAAGAGACACCCGGTGCGAGTTGAGCTCTTCGCAGGTCCTCGGCCGGGGAGGGCTGTGAGAGCCCCACCGCGGAGAGCCGGGAGTGCCATCAGAACCCCTGCAGCAGCAAGGACTGCGAGGCGCGCGCCCGAGAAGGAAATCTGGGCCAGTCGGGTACCCGTTTTGGGGGCGTTTTACAGGGGAACCGAAGGGAACAGCCCTATTTTTGTCAAAAGACAGCCCCCAAGCATCCGAGAAGGAACCTTTGCCGGGAAGTAGAAACTTCTATGTTTGTCAGCCCTTTTTCTTTCCATACTCTTTGTTTTGAAGGGACTTGCCGCTTGTTTCATTCGTCCCACCCACAAAGAGCTAAGTGTTTCTGGATTTTCTGGGCCGAGCCGGATCGTGACATTAGGCGGGGGGATTGGATTGTGCAACTAGGCAGGGGGTTGCATAAGTGGCTGTGGGTCAAAACCAATGGGATCCCATTCTGTGGTAGGTGAAATCACCACTGATTTTAGCCTATTTTAGTGCGGATTGGGATGTTCACTGGGGGTACGGGATTTTGACCCATGGCCATATAAATATGTTCTGGGATGTGGATTCCCTCAAACACATGGTTTTGGGTTTCCTATGGTACAGGTCTATTCGGTTCTGTCGTCGGTTTCCAGGTGTCGGGCTGGACGGCCTGGAGCAGCTGCAGCGCCACTTGCGGCGGAGGCGCATGGGGGGGGTCTTGGGGGGGTGGGGGAATGGAAGTAGGGGAAGCTGTTTTGTAAGTTGTTTTTTGGTTACAAGAAGAGGTGTTGTGTGTCACTTGGATGTGCTGCTTTGTCGTGTTTCGTTTGTTTTTCTGTTGCTGGGATGTGTGATTGATTGTCCCCTCCACGGACATATAGTTGAAAACCCAAAGCTGGAAAGGGAAAGCAGAAGGAGCTCGAACGGACTTCTGTTTATAGGGGAACCGCAAGCATATCGTGATCCAAGTTTGAGGATGGGAGGGATAGCAAGGGAAAAAGGAAGAGAAGCGGAAGGGGAAGGAGGCGGATAACATACGCATGCTGGCACGCAAATCGGCATGGGGGACGTGGGAGTTCCAGATGAACAAGCAACTGGAAGAGCGATTCTAAGACTTATCCGCTCTACCCAAGAATGAGTAAGGACCATTAAATGGGTTGCAGGGGTGGAATCCGGGCAAGTTCGATGCTCTGGGCCCGTTTCGACAGGAGGGCCCACCCACCGGGGGGGGGGGAGGGATCCAATGCCCTGAGGCCATCACACGCGGCACCGCATGATTCTGCAGCTCCCACAGCACGCGGGGAATCTGTGCGAGGCAACGCCTCTAGAGGAGATGGCCGCCTGCAATGGCCAGTCTTGCGTGAAGCAGGCGGGGGCCATGTCCCCAATGTGGGCTGTGGGTCAAAACCTATGGGATCCCATTCTGGGGTAGGTGAATTCAGCACCCATTTTAGAACCTATTTTGGTGGGGCTTGGGATGTTCACTGGGGGTACGGGATTTGACCCAAAGCCATGTCCATACGGGGGTATTTCCATCTCCAATACCAGAATGGGGAGCCCCCCTTTCCGGCGATTCTTGTGGGATCGCATTGTCCCAACACCTTACAGGGGTCCCTTAAAAAATGTCACTTCTCATTGTTAGATACTGTGGAGATAAGTCAAGAGGAAATCACTTTGGAGAGCCCTGGTAGTTTGTCCGCCCGGATAGAGTGGTGGAGAAGCGATGCACAACGCGGAAGCAGGATTCTGACGGGTGTCTTTCAACAGGGCTATTTTGACTTGCACTAAAGCACACAAAGTTGAATCCTTTCTTTGGCAGGACAAGTTCCTCCAACTTGGGGGGGGGGGGGGGCGGCGGCTCCTTTGATTCTCCTTCAAAACACCCCCAAAAAGGCCAAGAAAAGGAACCCTCAAAAACGGCACCGCTGTGTGTTTCATGCAGGCATCTGTCACAATGACCTCTTCGGGTGTACCTCCTAATAGCTCCAACCTATATAACCCATAAATGCATAGGCATACATAGCTGGCATACAGCAAATCGGGGGGAATCACTATTGAATTGGGGTGCAACCCGTACACCCTCCCAACATTCTTCGTGATGCCCCAAGAAAAAGGGCCCCCCTTTAGGTGTGCATTGACGGCCAGTGGAACGACTGGGCGCAGTGGACCCCTTGCTCGGTGTCCTGTGGCGGGGGCACCACCTTCCGTGTGCGGCACATCGGAGTGGCGGCCAACGACTGCGGCAAGGCGGTGGAGGGCTTATCCAGAGACGACGCCTTCTGCAACACTGAGCCGTGCAAGGAGATCATGGATTGCCCCGCGACCACCATGGGGCTGTGGTGGTCAAAACCGTTTTGGGATCAAATTTTGGGGTAGGTGAATTCACCGCCCATTTTGGAACCTAGTTTAGTGGGGATTGGGATGTTCACTGGGGGTACAGGATTTTGACCCATGGCCACATGGCTTGGTGAAAGCTCGCAATATGGTCAAGTTGGGGGGACCCACCAAGTTTCTCGAAAATAAAACAGCAGGACTCACAAATTGTCCCTTAGCCCTGAATATTTTTGCACGTGGCTCACACGATCCTTCTGGGGCCGCGGGTTTTGCATGTATCGATATAATCATAGAATCACTAGCAAAGACATGTCACTCTCCATATATCAACATACGTAGAGGACAGGTACAGCGTGCCAAACTGATGTGGCACATGTACTAGGGCCAGGGGGTGCCCAGGATTAATTTTTGTGTGGTTGTTGCGGCATCTTTGTGGGTTTGCAGGTTTGCGTATATTGTATAGTTGCATTGCACTGGAAAGCCGACGAATTGCAATGGATTGCAATGGATTTCAATGGCGGCTTCCCTGTGCCGGAATCGTTCTTTTTCAATATTCACTTGTGTTACTTGCTGCTTCCAGGTTGAGGCAACGTGGGCCGCGCGCGCAGCTTGCAACCAAGGCATCATTTCGGACTGGGAGGATTGGACGGACTGCTCGGCATCTTGCGACGGCGTGCAACGACGCGAGCGCAAGATCCTGCAGCACGGCACTGAAGGAGGCGCGGCCCTTCTCGTGGAGCGCGTCAGGTGACGTCAGGTGGCTCTGTCGAGCTGTCTAGAACGTAGTGAATCAGTTTAACGTGTCTTGATTAGCGTCATTACTGGGTTGTGGGTCAAACATATGTAGCCAAAATGGAGCCCTGGTAAATGGACACATGGACTAATATTTGCGGTCCCTGGTGGCTTTATTTTGACCCATACCCACGTAGCATCATTGCGGGTGATTTGTTGCGCTTTGTTGCGAGGCGTTCTTTGCGAGGGAGTCCTCCACGAGAGGCAGCCGTGCAATCCTGGGCTGTTGGACATCTACCCCACGGGCTGTGGTGTGGGCGTTCCCCAGGACCGTGGGGCGGGCATGGGCGAAGTAGTCTCCATCGTGTGGTTTTTGTGGGGTGCCAATGCCTACCTCGGGTACCCTTGCCTTCAGAACCCGTGGGACCTGGCACTCGGTGTCAGCGACTTTGCCACAGCTTCCCATGGGGCTAAGAGCCCGAGGCACCCTTGCAAGGCCTTGTGCCCTATGGCTCCAAGCTTGAATAGGAACACCCCAAAAATCGTTGGACATAGAGGCTTCGTCTTCTTGAGGCTACCCCTATTGGCTTTGTTTAAAGTGCAACCACAGGGGACACCCCATTTTCGTGGTCTAAGACACGCCAGGCCGGATCCGCCGATCCGCAGGACTGTGAGATGAACGAGTGGTCAGATTGGTCGCACTGCAGCGCAACCTGCGGAGGTGGGGGGTTCACTCTGGTGCACTCCAAAATGTTGGAGAGCTTTTTGACCTGAATCATGATACAAAGGGAGAGGATGTTGGTCATGGATGAGCATCCCATACTTGGCTTCACTGTGCTCTAATTAGAGTCCGTGGTTATCACAAAGGTAAATCAATGATGTCGCCCTCAGTGTGGCTATCATGTGAACTGAACACGCGTGGCTTGATCATTGACGTGGCGAAAACCTGAGATGAAAACTGCGAGCCGCTTGGAATCTCCATCCGGAGCAGGCGGTGTCCACGTGAAGCGGCGCTCCGTCCTGAAGGCCGGCTTAGGGCTGAGACATGCTTTCGTTGCTTGAGTCGCATGTTGAGTATGCTGCAACTTGAAGTCTCCCCAGTGTCCAAATGCAATCTCCAAAACGACGGGTCCAAAGAACATTTGAAGGGGGTGGTCTCAATCATCAGGGCTGAATCCATGATCTCTTGCTGCGATTTAGGTCATCCATGCTTTGAATGGGACAGTTATTGTCAGGAGTGTCTCGCGTTGTGCCAGCTATGCCAGCTAATGTTTTTTGAGCTTAGGGCTTGCTTACTAAGCCTTGGCCAGAAGCAGATGGTTCCCGGTTTTGGATCCGAGGGCTCGTTTGGCAGGGTTCTCGCCCTAGCTGTAGTCTAGTGTTTTGGATTCGCCGGATACATAGACCACTTTGGAGCCCATTGCATGACCGTGCACTCCCCATGTGTTCCTTGAGTTCTGTCGAACTTCTCATGCTCAGGGCCAGTCAAATGCTCAATTCAGTCTTGTTGGTGTCCCAAATAGAGGACGCCCAAGCTTAAAACTGGTTTATTTGCCGGTTTCCCAAGCAAAACCATCTGCCATCTCCCGTGAGAGGCTCGCGCCAACGGCGGCACGCCCTGCCCGGAAGGCCGGGGAGTCGCAGCTGGGTGGGCCATGGCCTTGTGACTCTTGGTGGGAACAGCTAAAACAAATGGTTGGCGCATGAATTTTCGCGAATCCCCAAGTGTCCAAGATGTTCGCCAGAGGGTTTTGTTGGGCTTAGCAGCTAGTAGAATGCAGGACCTGGGAGTCGGTAGATCGGAGGCAGGGGCTGCCAATATCTCAGGTTGGTGAATGGAATGTGCCCGGAAAATCCCTCCACCAGACTTTTGGATTTGCTCACGCTCTTCACGGGCAAGGAGGGCTCACGCCACTATCACCACGTACATTTTGGAATTGTGATATCCGACTTGCCTCAACAAAAGCATGCGTAATTATCTTCCCACCTGTTCCCGAATTGTATGAAAACTCTTGTGGTAGCAGCTCATGGTTCACATGACACTGCATTCGACAGCCTGATTGCATGCTCGCAGGCTCGCTCACCATGGTCAAGGGATGTGGTGAGACTGCCTGCGAGACCGGCCCGCCGGTGGACTGCAAGTACGGCGACTGGGGGGATTGGGGTCAGTGCGACAAGTGCGACGGGGAGCGCAAGCGCCTGAGACAAGTCGAGCACTTCGCGGAGAACGGGGGGGAGAATTGCGCCGCCTTCGACGGGGAGGAGGTGGGCCCATGCCCGCGGTCCTGCAGCCCGGGCTTTTGCTCCTGGGGCTCCTGGGGCTCCTGGGGCGCCTGCAGCGGCTGTGGCCGCAGCAGCCGCCGGGAGCGCAAGCGCTCCCTGGCCGCGGGCTCCGTGCACTCGCCTCCTGCGAGCGAGGCCCAGGTGGCGGCCGCAGCCCTGGAGACCCAGGCCAAGTACGCGGAGCAGCTGCGGCAGGCGAGAAGCCACTTTTCGGCGCTGAAGACGGAGGTGAAGAGCATGCAGTCGCAGAGGTCGAAGCAAGTGATGCTGTCCTTCGGCTTGGGCCTCATGACGGTTCCGCTTCTCCTCGTCATCTCTAGGCTGCCCTGGCACACGAGGAATCCGGGGTATTCTTATTTGATTTCAGCCGCAGCGGAGTGAGCCAACTTGACCAGGCCAGAGAGCAGCTGAGCAGGTTGCTTGATGGCCAGCATTGCTGCATTCGCGACCTCAATGGGTTCCAGAGTGTGGCTATCGGTTGAATTGTCTCACGGGCATTTTGGTGCCAGGGTGCGTCACTTTTACCATAAAGTAATGGGCCTTGACCAAGCCCTGTCATATTAACTCAGCTTTCAAAGCGTTCTCCAGGCTGCTCAGTCGAACCACTTGCGCGGCCCTGCAAATCAATGTAGGCTGCAAAGGTTCGAGCTGAGCTCGATGGCACAGACCCAGCAACTTTGCTTATGTTGTTCACTTGGTTCTGATTTCATAGCAGCATACCCCTTGCAGATGAAGCCAAAGCCTGCAACGCGATTGACAATGATCATTGACCTGGCGTTTCATGGCAGCTCCTTCCAAGCTTTTTGTCCGTATGCCAAGCGATGTCAACCAACTGTTTGGGAGCTGCCAAACCGTGCATGGAAGGCATGGACCCTTGCACGACGCATGCTGTCACATGCTTCATGTCCAGCGCTCCCTGACTCTCAGCAACCCTGTGGACATGCTGTGACTCACCTTTGGAGCCTTGCTTTTGAGCGCTGTGCATGCAGCTCAGCCAAATTCATCAGGCGGGAGCCCAAGCCGAAGAAAGCTCCAGCGGCGGTGCAAAGTCACGCCAAGCACAAAGGCTACCGCATCCTGATGGCAGTGAGACCATGATGCTCAGTTGTTGCAAAACAAGAAGCCAGTAGGTACCTGTTCAGTGATTGTGAGAGCTGCATGGCAAGCCAACAAGTCTTAAGTGGCTTCAGGCTGCTGCTTAATTAGTGCGGCTACATGCCAATGCTGCATGAGTCCTCAAGCTTTGCAGCAATTGCACTGCAAATGCTGTACTGGTAGGTTCAGGTGCCTTTGGCTGCCCTTGGCCAGTTCTGGCCCGTTGTGTTGCCACAAGTTCTCTTTGAGTTGTCTTGCTTGGGCAGCCACTGGCAGCTGTTGAGCGGTTGGCCACCTGTCGGAGATGCACTGTTCACAAGATCAGGACTCAGGACAGGGAGTGCAACGTCCCCGCGAAATGATAGAGTGTGACGGCGAAATGACGCCATGAAACCCGCGAAAACCAGCAGGCATGCCTTGTTGCCTCTGATCAGTCTGATCAGCTGATGCAGAAGTGGCCTGGTCATGGTGCTGTGCAGCATTGTGCAGCAAACCTAGCTTGCTTGGCGCATCGATAAGAATCAACAAGACCCAGGACATGCATTTAGCAGCCGAGAATCTGCACGTGCTTGACTGACTCTTACATAGTCATATTTGCTGGGAAAACTTTAGTTCGAGGAAAACGGACCCTGCTTTAAGCATTCTCAGCTCGTTATGCTTTTAGTTGCGTTGGTCCTTTGCGGTTGATGGCCGTCCACGCAAATTCCAACCAATGGCAGCACATCCAATGCGATCGGCAGGTCGACAAGTCGATAGAACTTGATATCAAGGATCAGCAAGCACCACCCAGCCCAGCAAACTGAAGGCAAATCTCAAATGCCCAAATCTCGGATGCCGCATTGCAGCCAATGAAGAAGAAGGCCAGGAACATTCAAGGGAAGACACGTCAGGAACACATGTGTGTGAGGCAGATTTGAATCAGCATGGTTGAAGAGCCTTGTTTTTGTTTGTGTATTTCTTTCGGCTGGACTTTGGAAGTTGGCTTGCAAGCTGCTCGTAGCTTGCAAGCATCTTGTAGCTTGTTCACAATGTGGGCAGACATCTTGCCCCTGAGAGGCTGCCAAAGCCAAAGAGAAGGGAGGAGGCGTGCTTTCTCAGTTGCTGGTGTTAGGGGCCTGGCATTGCCAGTCTGTTTCTTGATCGGGAGGCTGCCCCTGCATGACAGCATTGCATGTGCAGATCTTTGGGTTCAGATTGGCTTGGATTTTGAGCAGGGCAACTGTATGCTCTTGGCAGTGAACAGATGTTCAATGAGTACTTGGTCGCTTGGCGATTCATTCACGGTCTGTAGAGTACGCAACACGTGCTGGTTGCTGTTGTCATGCCTGGCTATCGCAGAAGTCACACCTGACCAGCAATTCCCTTGGCTGTGATACTTCACGCATGCCAGGAGAAAGCAGTTTGCAGGAAGAGGATGCTTCAAAGCCTGCGGAAGCTAGCAGCTCAAAGATTGCTACACGTTGCTGCGCACTGTTTCACATTGCAAATGTGAAGGGTGCAAGGTGCATCAAAACTGTGCTAGATTCCAGTGAGGCAGCAGGCAAAGTCAAAGTCAAAAAGAAGCGGAAAGCAGGAAGACGCGACACGCAAGGTGTTTTACGTATACAATGCGGCTGATGTTTGCTTCAGCAATGTCTCCGATGTCCAAGCAGCTAATACATGCGAGGTTTGAACATGCAATTTTGGTGTTTGACTTGACAGGAGTGGACGCCCAGCCTGAAGTGGTCAGCGAACCTGTGAATGCTGCCGAGGCTCGCTCCTTGCATAGTGGAACCACTGGCAATGGTACCACTGGCGGTGCAGCCAGCAAATGACTTGCGCCAGGTTTCTGGTGATAAAGCCAAGAAGCGCAAAGCAGGCAAGCTGCGCGAGCACTGATTAAAGTGGTACCAAAGCAGCTATACAACATATGCAAGGTCCTTGTAAAATTCGTAGCAGTCAAACAGAGATCACAGATTTGTTGCAACTGTTGGCTGTTGTGCGCAGCTTTCTGCACGTGCTGCGATTCCTGAACATGCCAGGGGCAAGCACAGTGAAGGAAGAGGCGGACACATCAAAACCTGCAGATGCTGCCAGCTTAATGGCTTGCTGCGTGCAGTTGGGCTTTGGAGGAGGGCATTGAGTTTGCCAATGTTCACTTGAGGCTTCAGGCAAAGCCAAAAAGAAGCGGAAAGCAGGAAGCTGCTCTTGTTTGTGGTTTTGACAAGTACTCTCGTGGCTCGGTAGGCATAGTTCTCAGAGAGGTGTTGGACCAGCTCCATGTGCGTGTGCATTCTTGTGTTTGTTTGCGATGACCGTGCATTCCCGTTAGTACTTTGGGCGTTTGATGTGACAGGAGCGGACGGTCCGCCTGAATCAGTGAGCGAGCCTTTGAAGACTGCAGAGGCTGGCTGAGTGTCTTGCATAGTGACAGCACCGGCACTAGCACCGCCGGCATGCAGCCAGCCAATGACTGACGTGAGGTTTCTGGCGAGAAAGCTAAGACAGCCAAGAAGAGCAAAGCAGGCAGGTGGCTGTGGTACTACAGGCATCACGTCCTGCGGTGTTCATGTGAGTAAAGGAAGGCCGAGCATGAGTCATGTTGTCGTGTGGAGTTGTTGAGAATGTTTGTTGGTATCGACTGCATTGATGTTGATCGCTGTAGGCGCATCCGCAGCAGAAGTGGGACTCTCAGCATATTTTGCTCATGGTTTCTTGGCGCTTCCTGAGTCAGAACATGCCACGGACACACCGAATCATGACATACAAGGACACGTCTGGCCAAATTTGCACTCTTGCCAAATTTGCACTCATGGAAGCCAGTTTTCAGGCAAGTGGCAGCGGACGGTCGTTTGCGCAGGCTGACCTGACCGTTTTCGTTGATGGCGTTCCGTATGCACGCTCCCAAGTGCGGAACCGCTCGAAAGGCGTAGATTGTTCATTGAGCCCCAGAGATGAGCTTCGTTTGGCTTCAAGGCAAACCATTTCGGAGTTCACAGATGCCCGGCCTTCCAAGACTCCAATGCTGGTTCCCGTTTCAGTCTCAGGACTGGTCCTTGGAGAAGATCCGAGAGCTTTTCTCCAACAAGTGCGGCAGGGGTCTTAGGTCTTGCCACAGCGCAACTGAGAAAATTTGGCGGGGCCGGGGGTCTATTTCTTTGAGGGTTCTGTATGTGGTTTTGGGTGGTTTTCAAGGGAGACCAGGAAAACCGGAGCGGGTCTCCGAAAAGAAGACACCATGCTTAAAACCGCTGGTTTGGGGACCCAAAAAGCTGGAATCCCCTAAAACCAGTTTTGTTTGGCTTATGTTACCCTCAACTCCAAATGCTAGCTGTGTCAGCGTCTGCTTTGGCTGCCGGGAGCCTTAGGTGAGGTGGCCAGTGTTCGGGCCCCCACGTGGCAGGACTCAGGACGCTTGCGCCCAGGTCTCAGACGACAGCCGAAGCACTGGTCCCTTGTGGTAGGGGTAGTCATGGAACCGGAGGTTTCTATTGAGAGAACCATGACAAGGATTGTCACGGGAGCCATGGAGCACAGAGTCGGAGCTTTGAGTTTTGACCCGGCGCACAGCTGAAAAATACTGCCACAAAGAGGAACCCCTCGATAAACATCGCCCACCCTTGGTAGTGGATGTGCAAGGGAATCAAGAGGAATCTGGACCAAACCCTGACCGACCAATGTTTGCAGACATCCAATGAGTGCCTGAATCAACTATCCTGAGCCCAAGTGACTTGATGAGACCTGTGGGTGCTCAGTTCAAGAAACCGTCCATGTCGGGTATGCTGTGCTCATGGCCGCATTTGCATCATGCTTCGAGGTGGCTATGCTCACGTGGATTTTGTCACCCGCGATAGCAGAGACAAGGCTTTGGCGCTGGATGGAACCAAAGTTGCCGCGAAGGCTCGCATGGGCCGAGGGACTAGGCATTGCTTCAGCATGCTGTGAATGTATACTTGAACGAAGCTTCGGCTTCCCAATACGAGTCAAGAGTTGCCCAACATCATGTTTGTTTGTGTTTGTTCTGCAGAATAGCACGGCCGACTTTCAATCCAGAAACTGCGGAAGTTGTGCAGGGCCGCTATTTGAAGATAGAGGCTGCAAAGAAGCCCAACGAAGGCAGGCTGGCATGGGAAGCATCGCACAGCATGCTTATGTTCACTCAGAATGAGTTCGCGAATGCGATCGCTTGAGGCGTCCTTTTTCCTGCTTGCTTCTCGACACATGGCGTCACAGGGCTTTGCGCGGGCAGGCAAAGTGAATCTCGCGGACATCGAAGGCAAGCGCCGGCTGCTCGGTGCCGTCGCAGG